TCTGATTAAATTCTTAATTAGCTGATGCATTTAAAAGCAGTAAATGCACTTCTTACTATAATTATAAATAATTTTTTTGATTACATATTTAATTTATATAATTTATAATACATTTAATTTTTAGTATATCCATTTGACAATTTGGTACTTGGATATTAGAACTTGTGATACACTGTCAATCGTAAAACCCATGACTTTGTTTTCTTGCGTGCATTGTGACAACCGAATCTTTTGAAAATTCTTCTAGAATCTTCTAGAGCCTAAAACGACGTGGGAATGGTTTCATTTATTTATTTTAATGTCAGCTTCACGTCAGAAGAGCATATCTGTAGTGAGCAATTTTTTGGTAGCATTTTTACATATGTAAAGTGCCTGAGACAAAGTTTGTTCATCTCATGTTGATTTCTGTTGCATTTTGAATCACATGCTTGCTAGATTCGCCGAGGAAGGAAGAAAAGGAATTCGAGGGAGGTCACTTATCTTATTTAGCAGAGCTCTGAGGAGGTAAAGACAAAGTGAGAATCTGTAAAGTGGTCAAATAATCGGCCGTTTGTAAGTGCGGCATACTATCATGAAAACAGTGAGCTGTTTGAATTTTTAGAGATAGTTTGTACGCTTTAGAAGCAATTTAAAAATTTTGGAACTGTTGTAATGGTACCTGGAGGCGGTCGTAAACGAATGACAACTACTTCTCATGATATATGTCTGGCACTAATTGCCTATAATAACAGAAAATCTATTTGTCGGCAGTTTAGTTCTGACTTTGCAGACTCTGCTGGAAATGTTTTATAACGCAAACTGCGTACAGAAAGACTGATGAATAAGACCTTTAATCATAGAAAGCCAAAGGTATGTGGTTCAGTCTTCACAATAAAAGAGGGATTGCTATATTTAGTGCAAAGCACATCAGAACTGGAATGCACATCAATGATCCTATGTTCTCTTTACTGATGGAATGATTTCTAAACGTGTTTACGTCTGGAGGGAGTCAAGAAAGAGATCTTGCTTCAAACACCATGGAACATGACAGTTTCGTTAATGTAAGTATGATGGTTTGGAGATTAGTAATGATCGTTGGACATACGCTTTATTTATGGACGATAATGCTCTTCCACTTCGAGCAAACCTTGTTGACGAATTCCTTGACAGTAGGGGCGTTCAGTGGATATCGTAGGCAGAAAAATCTTCTGGTCTTAACCCGATACAGAACTTAATGGACTACCCTGGAGAAGTAGTTGCACGGATGCATCCTCCTCACAAAGATATAAATGGTTTGAAGACCGCGTAGTTGGAGGAGTGAAACTTAATTCTTCAAACTGTGGTTAACAGCGTTATTGCTAGCATGAAACAGAGATGTAGCTAGGGCAAAGAAAGTCAACGCTCGGGGACAAGTGAAGATCTCGCCCTCTCCTATTTCCAAAGAGTGGAAAACATTTCATTCTAAAAATTCGTAACATTTGTTAGGCGCCCACTGCAAGCTGCACCCCGAACAAATGTCTCTCCGTGCCCCCCCCCCTAGTTACGTTCCTGCATGTAAACATTTTGTGATATGTTTGTACAAGTCAGGGACGATAACATTCCACATTAAATTCGTAAGCACTACCTTTTTTATGAGTTCTTTTTTTTTTTTTTTTTTTTTTTTTTTTTTTTTTTTTTTCTTTTTTTTTTTTTTTTTTTTTTTTTTTTTTTTTTTTTTTTTCTTTTTTTTTTTTTTTTTTTTTTTTTTTTTTTGTTTTTTTTTTTTTTTTTTTTCACTTTCCTTGAAACTTTCTATCACCAATTTTATTATTTCATGCTACAGTTCTCTGTATCATATGATATGCTTTTAAACTTTTTTCTTTGTATTTATGGGGTAAGATGCTATGTATCATTTCACACAAATTCATAGTTATATCACAATTTCTTAAAAATGATTATACAGATAATTTTGGGCATGAATATTTATTAATCATTTCACTTTGCTTCTTAATATTGCGGAGTTTGGAATACACGCATTGCGGCACATACGTTTTATTAAAATTATAGCAGCTAATTCGTTTGTTAAAATATAGAAAAATTATTTTCTGTTAACAATAAAAACCTATGATAAACAGGCGTTGCTGCCAGTTGACAATGCATAACGATCTTTATCTTTGATATTATAAATACGTTGCTCATCGTCGAGTTAATCGTCCCGAATCTAAGAATTCTTTGTATGGAATTTTTTGCAACAGTATTATTTTAAGTCCTGACTTTCTATAAATAGTGGATCGCAAAATTTTTATTTCTTTTTATGTAAATAATCGTCTGCATGCAAAACAAAATTAAATGGTTATTACGAGATTTTACCGTAATATTCAAATTGCAAGCTTCTTTCCCTCTTTCTCTCTATATTTTTTCTTTTAATTCAAACACTAATGCACTTTTTCAATATTTCTTGCATTTATACATTTTGATGCCTGAAAATGAAATGCAAATGCAAACGACAGAGCTTTCACCATAGAAACTGTTCGAGAGTTGAGTTTAAATTTTGTTCAATGATGAAGCTTTAGCTCTCGTCAACTGGCAAACAGTAGGTCCTTAATTTTGTATTCTTCCAGTGTATCAGTTTCTTTTGATTGCTAAAGCTGATACTCAGCTGCTCTGAAAAGTGAAGAAAATTTGACTTTCATATATGTCGAAACAATCTTCTTACTTCCTTAAACCCTAGTTAGATTATCTGAGTGTGGAAGAGCACAAAAGAATTATCTGCTTGAATTCTTAATTCTTGAAACATTTAAAACAATACTTTCAGCAAAATTTATACCTAACGCTAGTATAAATTTTTTTCTTTTGTTCCAATTCAGTTGAACTATGAATTTTGTTTGAATTCGACGCCTAAATATGATATATTTTCTACATATTGTTTCAAATCGTAAATTTATAACTAATAAAATGTTTAAAATTTTTGTTTTCAAATATGGTAAACAGAATTCTTAAAGCGAAAAATTTAAAAACTGTAGAAGGTTAAATTTTTTAAATTGGTAAAACATATAAAGGCCATCTCCCTAAGGAGATGGATGCCTTCGTGGAGGGCTTTCTAAGAGAAATAGACTCGTATTCATGTTACACATGGAGAAAAAAAAAAAAAAACCCTCCTTACAAAAACTTTGCAAGGAGAAAGGTTTAATTGGCATTTTCTGTACATACGCCTGTAAACATGCCAACTTGAATGGCTGGCAGAAAATAATTGTTCGGCTATCTTTAAGATTCCTACTGTTCTGTTTATAAACAATTATAGAAAGTAATATTTTACAAGAAAAACAAAAATATATTTAGACTACATTGACATTTTTATAACCAGTATATATTGTTTAGTTATAGCCTTTCAAATTTCTTTGAAATAGTCTTTTTCTGTCGCTTGCTGGGTCTTCCGCCAGATAAATTCAGCCAAGTAGCTCGGAAGACGATACCATGTAGTTCCCCTGTGCATTTTGTTTCTTGAAAGAATCCGAAGTAATTCAACATGTTTCGTGTGGACACTAATTTCTGGGTCCATAAAATTGTACTTGGGGTTGGTTCACTTTTCCAGTGCTTGTAGTTGGCTTCTCGCTGTTGTTAGCTGCTGTACCCCATACAGATATAGAAAAAATGATTGCTTATTCTTTGTGCTTTTGGGTTTTTGCTACTAATATTGCAGCTTTCGTTTGGAACGGCCATCAGAAGTTTCCTTTATTACGTAACAAATTTCTTCAAAACTCCATTTTTGTGGATGGACTCTCGATCAGTGTTATTTTTACACCCAGTTAGTAAATAGACTTGCTTGTTTCGACAATATATTCAGTGGCGTCTATTTTTATTTATGTTCTTTTTTTCATGTAAAACACACTTGTAGAAAGTAATATAGTAATTTTTCATACATGACAGACTTGTAGAAAGCAATTATGCGACAATTATCAATCCATGGTTGTAGATCGTGAGATTTTTCGAAAATTTGGTACTTTTCATGAAACTGTACACAAACCTTTTCACAAATTAATGATATAAAATTGCTGATAACACGTAAATAAATGAAACTACTATCTCGTATCTACAAAATTCTAACACATCATTCTTATTAAAATTCCCTGCAAAAATTCAATATTAAGTTCTAAGGATCAATTGTTTATTTAGTATGTATGCCAGTAATTTTTCTCTTTTTAATATTGATAATTTAAATTAGGTGACTTAACAACTTTAAAAAAGTAATACATATTTAAAAACGATTTATATTTTAGAAACGAGTACCGTAACGATTCTAAACTTTGTACTTGAGCTGCTTCATTTTTATGTTAAGAACAATTTAAAATTTTTCCCTTGAACTCATGGATCACAGTACAGATAATGAATATCTCTAATAAATCAGACTGGATCGAATTTAAGGTAACAGAGAGCGTTATTCTATACAGCATAATTTCATGAAAAAATACCAAGACGAACTACTACATATACATTAATATATCGTCAGTTTCGTTTACAAATAAAGGCCCACCAGCGGCCGAGCGGTAAAGTCGCTGAACACTGGTAGTTCGGTCCGAGGTTCGAATCCCGCGAACGGGCTGGCTGCATGGGCGTTTTCGTGGTTTTCCCCATGTGTAACGTGTATACGAGCCAGTTTCCCTTAGAAAGTCCTCCACGAAAGGCATCCCTTCCCTTAGGCAGATAGCCCTCGTGTGCTTTGCCATAATTAAATACACACACACACACACGTTTACAAATAAACACTACCGCCATCTGTTTGCAAGCTAAGAAAACATAATCACAAAGTTTTATTTAACACGCGAATAGTAATATGATTGACCTTTTTTTTTTTTAAATCAAGAGAATGAATTTCAAATATAGTTCCATAGTTATGCAGTGTTTTTGTCTTATGTAGTCATTTCACACTAAGGATTGCTCTAAATAGGAATTATTCTTTGTCTAAAAAGCAGATCTTTTCTTCTGCAACTTCAGGTCATTTTGTTAAACTCAACTTGTTTTAACAGAATTTTTATCCTTTTCAGGTGGAGAGCCCGGTGTTAGAAGATAGCGGAAGTATGTTCCGCGGTAGTACCTCCTGTTGCAGCAACTGCCCAGAGGTGAGTGGACAAGTTTAACTTTATAGACCAAAATATTCGACCACTTCTAGCATTGCCAGTGTTAGCCAAAACCCGAAATATTCGAAAATTTATTCATACCTCGATATACTCAGGAGTTTATAGCAGCTTATATTTATTTAAAGACATTTGTGTTTTTGAAAGTTGTTTTTCAAAAACCATCTACTGAATACTAAAGGTATAAGTTATTCCACGCATACTGTTTATATAGAGCGTTCGTAAACTGTTTCGTGCAGGTTTCATTGAAAAGAAGCAACCCAACAGTTATAGTTGATTGACTTACCAAAGTTTAGTGTTTTCAGTTAAAATGTTCTTCAGTGTTTCTCTTTAAAAGTGTCACATTCTCAATGTTTCAGAATATTACGTCGATTATTACATTGTTTCAGATTATTTGAGACGTCTTCCAAAACGACACCGTAGAGACATGTCGGATTTGACATAAGAGAAATCGGCAGCCATACATCTGATGTACACTTAGCAACTAAAAAAGGATACGGAATACAATGATTTTAACTTGAGTGACTTTCTAATGTGTTGTATGCCATAGCATTTTAGCTTCTCTAGTGTTGACTGGGCGAAACTGCAGTTTATTTATTAACTGAATAAATAAATCTGATACGTGTTTTATTTCTTATCAGCTCTTGCTATGAAAATGAATTTTTAATTTGCAATCCAGTTATTCTTAATTCCATGCTTATTACATGTTTCGTATTACAACATTTATATCTTACGCTGTAATTCTTTGATAGCATGTTGCATATTAGGGAATTCATGTTACATATGTATTCACATTAACATTGCGCTTCTCGTGGCGCACATTCTGTATTGAACTGTTTCTTTTTTCTTTTTCTTTTTCTTTTTTTTTTTAATGCAGTTTCGTCAAATAGCCAAATCCCACTGTAGCTCTTGATGTAAAATCGAATTTTGAGAAAATTTTGATTTTCTTTTGTATCTGTCAATATACTTTAATGTTCAATAGTATAACGCTGTTAAGTTTTTTAGGCATCAGATGATAGAACAGTTAACAACTTGACACCATCTGAAGGCATCTAAAGAGACAACTAATAAACATTGACAACGGATTTATTATAAACAAATGTTTGGTTTTGGTTTATTCATTAGGAGCCGCTTCAACATACCGCACGCCACAATTTCAGCATTTCCTCTACTATAAGATTTCGCAATCAGCAAATGATGATAATGATCAGCAGATAATGATACACACGCATATAAGTTTTTACGCATGTACTGCTTAATTTTATCGAGAAATTAACTGATACAACACATAACTGCCCAAGATATAAGACTAGAAACGCGAAAAATCTTCGGAAGTTTTTACCTTCGATCTTGTCAGTAGATTTCGCATTGTAGCACATATACTAATTGTCAGATAGCTGAAAGCCTACTTAAAATCACTTTTTAATGCTGTAAGTCAAGTGGTGTCGTGACTGGACTTCATGAGCATCATTCAGTTATCTCGATGACACTGTACGCTATCTTGCAAACTGATGAACTGAGGGCAACTAAAGGAACAGTGACGGTATTCAATGATTTCAGAGTTTTGATACCCTATATATGAATGATTACGTTCAATTCATTAAAATTTTTCTTTGATAATTTAATTTAGATCCCGTCATTATTTAATGAAATTCTCATTGTATTTTTGATTGAAAATGGTCATTGCAGTCCTGCGATTTTGTTTTTAGTCACTCTTGAGCAAGAATTATAACAACATATTTTTATTTTTTATTTTATGAAAACTGTGTAGCTTAGGTTTTTTCATACGCATTTTTATTTTGGATTAATATATTAAGCAGGGCATAATATGAAATCGCTTCACTTTTGCACAAAACTATGCAGGCGCTAAAGGCAACTTTAAACTCTGTTATTTAAAACCTTCGATTCAACTTTTTACTTTTGAATTTTTCTTACTCAGGTAGTGAATGAATGTTTTTAATATTATGTTAACTGAATAGTGATTAAACTTTGCACTTCGTATTATTTAATTAATAAGTATATTAACTGTTGGCTTTTTTCCTTTCACCGCAGGGTCTGACATGCAGTCTGGTCTTTGCCATTTTTGCTGCCGTCCTTGGTATGGTGCAGTTCGGATACAACACCGGAGTCATTAACGCACCGCAGAAGGTACGAATTTTGCTACTGAGCTTATGCTTATGGAGGGTGCTTACACACTTTTAGAACGATTTCGGCGTCATTTAATGAATGTTTAAAATATGAATATTTTTTTAATGTTCGATCTGGTAGCATTTTTTTTTTTTGGGGGGGGGACTATAAGTTTGCGTTGTGATTTCCATGATAAAGGCCTTTTAGTAAAATTTTCAGAAGTACTGACTTCCATTTCTTTTCCACTACTTTCCAAAGTCTATCAATAGCGGTAGGCTTGCGCTGAGAAAAATCTCTTTTTAAAAGACAAAGGGCACGGTAGTGGTACTTTCCTAAGTATGACTTGTTGCTTTGTTTAGATGAAGTTTCATTCTTTAAAGTCACTAGCATTAAAAAAAAAAAAATGGAATTTTTTCTCGGAAAAACGTAAATCCCTTACTGAAGCTTTCTTTGCATTGACAGAATCAGGTTTATACTTATTTTTTCTCTATTTTCCAAAATAAAACTTTTTATTTTTCTTCTGTTGTATTCAATAAAATGAATTCGCGCATCAAGAGTCGCAATACATTTCCATTTATCTCCTATTAAATCAACTTCAAAGAAGGTTCTACAAATTGTTCTGTGTTGAGCCACATACCTTGGCTGATGAACACTGTTTTTTAGCTTTTCTAAATTGCCAATCTGGGTTTCTTTCCATATAGAAGTAAATGCACATGGTTTTCCCTTTCCGTTTATTAATATTGCTTATTTTGCACTTAAAATTTTTAATACCATGTATTTCATAACGTTTTTAAATTATGAAATAGGAATATTCTCTACAGAAAGCACAAAAATTTATTCTTCAATCCACAGCTTGTGACGTTTTGCAAGATGAATAAATTTAAATGTAGCAGACAAAATTCCTCATTTCAAATAATAAACTGTTGCCAGAAATCTTTATTCTAAAATATTTGCTTTTTTTTAAAAATTCTTTATCTAAATCTTTCTAAAAATATGTAAACACCTTCTGTACTTTTTGTTTTTCTCTTTTCAAACATTAACATTCCTTTTATTCAAAAACGTTGAATAGTTTCATTTTAAGTTGCCATAAGAGGACGACGTTATTCGGAATCGGTCAATTTTTAAAATTTGCAATTTTTAAAATTTACGAATACAGAGGGATCAGTATTATTGAAGGAACAATATCTAGTTTCGATGTTAAGCATTATTTTAGCGGAATCATTGCAAAATTTTTGAACCCTTAAGTTAGATTTTTACCATTGAACCCTCGGCCCGATTTGGCAGGTGTCGCTTTCTCTATCTTTCACATGATCTTGCAGATAGGTACGTTTTAGAGCGTTGCCACCTGAAGAAGCACAAGAGCTTCAGTTTTCCTTTCAAAAATTAGTCTTTAAAAACACCTGAGTGATTTCTCATCAATAAACGCACGTAAGAATAATTTAAATCTTTATATTATTTTAAGAAACGCGTGTATATGATACAAATGTGAAATATACTTACTTATTATATATACGATTGATAATACCTATGGTCATCTGCAGCAGTGATCATTTTCAATAATATATAACTGACAATGCATTTATCTTTAGTAATAAAAATTTAAATATATGTAATTTCTCATATATCCGATTCATAATAATTTGTAGGATTGATGTTATTAATAAAGATACGTTATTAACGCCATGTATTAAACATCTCAGTACAGATTATCGGGCTTCTTCGACGTTTTTAGTGATCTGATGAAATTCATATTTATTTATAAATACATAATTTAAATTAAATATATTTTATTTATAATATAACACTTAACTTGCAATATAAATACATTTAATTTAGAATGTATTCAATTGCTAATTTTCATGACCATTAGCAGCATTATTTTAATTAAGAATAGTCCCCCCATACGCCATAATATATTACGTTCCACTGTATAAAATCAAACTCGTTTGATTTTACCTATAATGTTACTTTTGGCTTCTATTTTCGAAGTCCGTTTTCAAGCTGATGAACGATGTCAAAACGATAATAAAATTATTGCCATACTTTTTTAGCTTAATAATATTTGCCATGTTCAACAACAATGAAATTTTGCGATTACATAGGTTTCTGGGAAAATTAAGTGTTTAACATGCTCTTAGAGAACGAAGGTTGTAATATATAGGGATTAAGAACAATGAACAATAATGTAATTTCAATAAGATGCCTGATGTACTTGTTGATATTATCCATGTGATCTGCTTATTGATATTATCCTACTTGTTAATACATGGTTGAGAAATACTGCCTAAATTAAGAATCTTAAAATTTTGTTGCTATGTATTAATAAAATGTATATTTATAGTTTCTTCTTGGTAAGTTATTTTTGACCTCGCTGATAACTGAAATTATCTGTCAACTAGCAATATTCAGGGTAGTAATTTTATTGTGGCTTAAATGTCGGTGAATTTAGTTTTCCCCAATTAGTTTTTTCGCGAATTAGGTATTTTCTTATTTATTAACTTATGTTCCGTTTATTAAATTATTTTTTATACTTAATCTCACAGTGATGGTATTTTTAATAAATAGAATTTATTTTATACAATTAAGTTTCATCTTAAAAACTTTGTTATAGAAAGGACTGTTACTTTTATGAACTTGTGAGAACCATTAAAAGCTAAAATCCTTTATAAATCGTGAGTTCGTAAATTGGAGCGGCATTAAAAAAAAAGGAAAAAATGAAGCAACGGAAATTTTTATTTATATTAACTTGAGATACCAAAAGGCTAATATTTGTTTCATAATATTTGATTCTCTGGCAGTCGTTGCTTCGGAGACACCATTTGATCGATATATCCTGCCAAATACATTAACATTCTAATTCCGGATTCAGAATAACCCCTTTTTTACTTAAAAATTTGTTAAAAAAGCGGAAAATGTGCTAATCCATTAGCTCTTAAACCGAAGTAATTTATATTGGAAGGAATGCTATGATAATTACTCGAATCTCTAATTTTAATATATGCACTATAGTTTTCCATTAAAAACAGCATTTTATTTCTTAATATGTTGGTACAATTCTTTCGAGCATTTTTCATAAATCTTATCAATCATCGGCTCTTTTATGTTATTGATACAGAGAAGCACTTCCTCACATGTTTACAGCATTTAAAGCATTTTTGCTCATTGTAATTTTCTCTTAAAAGTGGGAGCATTTGGTCATGGTTGGCTCCATACAATACAATACTGCTATTCGTTCTTTAACTGTTTTCGCACTGATGATGTATTAAATTAAAATATTCGTGTATTGTCCGATATGCGAAACTGCATAAAGCCCGAGTATTCAGAAAATAAACTCTCTCTCTTTTTCCCCCTTATCAGTTAGTTCTGGACGGTTCTTTCCGAACTATTTAAGAAAGTTTTCCAAATTTCAGTCAAGCATCTGATCTCGCCTAAATCGCAAGGTTTGGTTTATTAGATTATCGTCACACTTTCTAGAGTTATCTACCTAAGAGATTATTTGCCTTCGTGGAGGTCTTAAGGGAACTGGTTCGCATCCATGTTACACATGGGAAAAACCATGAAAATGTCCATGCAGACAGCCCTCTCGGTCGGAATCGAAACCAGGCCGAACTACCAGTGTTTAGGGATTTTACCGTTCAGCCACTTATGGGCACAGAAAATCTTAAGTATCCATTTCTGAGTCCCAAAACTCGATTTTTACCATCTGCAGACTTCTGCCAACTGATATTTTTGCTTTTCATTTTCGTATCTGAGCCATTAGCCTTTCATTCTGCACCTAGAAATTTTGTTTTGTGGAAATATTTTCTGGAAGGTGTGACGATATTTACTTATTAGTGCAACCATCTTAGTAGAAATCGCCAAAATTTCAAAATACGCCTAAATCTGGAAACAATGTGCATAACAGTTCTCCAGTTTAACGAGCGGCGTCGCCTTCATAGTAGGCGTTCTTTTTGCTGTATTCCAGGTTCCAACAGTTTTTATAGATAAGTCGTGACACTTTTTTTTGTCTTAAATCCAATTTTAAAATTTGTGCTGGAAAAAAACTGCGGTAAAATTCTTGCAGAAATACAGTATCTTGCACAGAAAATCATTAGTGGAACCTATTCTTAAAGGTATCTTCGCAAAAGTTTCATAATATGTAATAAACGAAACAAAAATCGACTGAGGTAGGTTTATTGATTGGTTTTCGGAATAAATACTAAGTTAAAATATACTATACATAATACATTGTTTTTTTTTTTTTTTTTTTTTTTTTTTTTTAAATTCGTCAGACTGCGCAAAGTGGTTGCGCTAATGCGTAATTACCGATGTGACTTCCCCGCTAGAGTCGCCTGCAGCAACAGTATTGTCGCTCTGATAATCATGTGAAGAGAATTCTTTGGAAACCCGCTCCCTCTCTCCCTTTTTTTTTTACTTGTACAAAGTAAAGATGTATTGTAATCATCAAAAATTTCAGTACCACATTTCAACGAAAATATCCATTTTGACCGCTATCGAATGCAATTTAACGATGTTTTTGTGTGACATCTGTACGTAATGACAGAATAAAGAACTCTTTCCCAAAACGAATTATAAAACTGATTTAAAATGGATTCAGAATAGATTTTTTTCGTGGCGTCAGTATATGCTTACGTATCTCGCATAACTCAAAAAACGAGTAGTCTCAGAACGTTGAAATTTTATATATAGGACTTCTATAACATGTAGATGTGCACCACAGGGATCATGCGCTGGTCCTGTCCTATGGAACGTGACTTTCAATTCGATCTTGTGCACTCAGTGGCCGGAAGGAGCGAAGGCATTTGCAGATGATGCTACATTCATCGTCAGAGGACACAGCAGGCACGTTCTCGAAGCCCGCTGCAATGACGTTATCTCGCAGTTTGACATGCTCTGCAACAAAAGCTGCGAATCTCTGAGCTCAAGTCGAAATATACAATATTCCATAAACCTGGCCAGACACTCGTTCGTAATCCATGTATTAACCTTAGACAAAAGAAAGTAAAACGAGTGAAAGAACT